ACCATTTTCACTCAAAATTGATTTTTACTTTTTTTTTAAAATCCATGATGGGGGATTTAGGGTGTGACTTCAAGGTAACTTTGATTTACCATCATTTAAACGTTTTTGAGTTGTAAGAAACATATTGGGAAAGGTAAATTCAGTGACAATACATGTGTTACAATAACACAGCTTTGAAGATCAAGTGTTCTGTTATCTACATTTTCATCTGTTTAATGTATCCGGTCAGTTCCATCGGTGATTCACAACAGGATTATAATGGGAAAAAGAGCTCTGGTTTAGATGATTTACAGATTTTTGGGGCTATGGTGCCACCTACTGAAATATAACTAAATATTCTTTTGCCTACTCAAAGACACAAGGCATGGATGTGGAAAAAAAATGCTGAAAATTGCGTCCCCAGAGGAGTAAAGTGTTTGTTTTGAATATATGGAAAGTGTACTATTGTGACCTATTTTAGTTGAGGTGTTTATAATGTTTAAAAGAATGTACAGTGTGTTTCATACTTTTAGAAAACTGATGTTTTCCTTTTTATTGTTGCACATGTGCCCTGTTCATTCCTACTACTGCTTTATGCATTTTTCTTGTAGCTGTTCTCCATCTCTCCTCCGTGTCGTTTGTATATAAAGTGCACATATTTTGTAGTGCTCTTTCTATTAATAAATCTCTAATATTGAATACACATCTAGCATGCACTAGTTAAGTGCTTTAGACAAAGATATCACTTACTTTTACCAGATCTGTTTAGCTCCTTAAACAGAAGAGTTTTTGCTTTCTAGTATATAAGAATTAGGGTAAATAATGAGGAGGGCTGCCTAAATATAGCAAACAAGCGATATAACTAGATGAGCTCATTTGCTTTGCATTGGTCGAACAGGCTATTCTAATCTTGCAATGATCATTTACTGCAGACAAATAGGCAGGTCAAAAAAGAATTAAGTATCCCACATACCTAATTCTTTCAGGGTTTCTTTCCTTCTTTCTTTTTCTTTTTGGTATGGGGATCCAACTCGGGACCTCCTGCTTAGCAAGGCAGGCAGTGGGGCCACTGAGCTAAATCTCTGGTCCTTTCTTTCTTCCTTTTTTGGCTTAGCAATAAGGATTCAACACAGTTGTTGCTACTGTACCAATGATTTGGTAATGTTTGTGCATGCAAAGTATAATAGATAATTGAATTCCTTACTCATAATTTAGAAAAAAAATGCAAAATGTCACAGAAACATTAAAAAGTTATTCCTGACATTTGGTAAATTTAGGGTGTGTACACACACACACACACACACACACACATATATATATAATATTTTTGCATCTTTTTTATTAGCATGTGGATATGATACCCAATAATTGCATTCATCTTGGGAAATTGGTATCCCATTGGTACCTCACCCAATATCGCATTCATTTTTACTTTACGTCACATCCTTTCTATTTACCCCTCATCTTTGGGTCCTTTTTCCATTCAAAAAGTCTACTTCCTGCTATCCTGCACCTATCTTCTGGCTTTGCACTTTAAATTGTATTTTGCAGATTCTCATAAAAGAACCAAGGTAATATGTCATCTCCTGAGTCTGATTTACTTCTCTTAGCATTATTGTCTTAAGGTGCATCCATTTTCCTCCAAATGATTCAAATTTATCCTGCATGACCTAGTAATATTCCCTCGCATAGACATACCACATTTTCGTTATGCGCTCATCTGTTGGGGGACCTCTGTCTTTTAAATACTTGAGTAGCGTGATTCTCCTAGCCTCTATCTCATGTCATATGCAGAGGCAGTAAACACACAACTCATTTGTTCGTATACTGATTGCCCTTATGGAAGGCACTGGATGATTTTGAGAAGAGAAATGCCTTTCAGATGTTAGGGTTTCTTTGAACTGGGCTGTCTCATGGAAGTCACCTGAGCTGTGTTCCTACTTTGAGACTTGTAGGTATTTTTTAACAGTTAAAAAATAATTGACAATATTTTACACGTAAGTATGCAAGGGCATAGGGCCCACGGAAATTATTTTGCATTGCTGAAATGCCTGCATTTTCTTAAGAGCATTGGCTTAAATTTTAGAATGGCTTTCAATTTTAAAAATTAACTTTAGAGTGGTTCTCTAAATTCTGGGGGAGTAGTTAACATTCTTTTCATGTCATGCATCACGTTGAATAAAATTGTTACTAAAACTGAAAATAAAGAGATGCTGTGACCATGAGAACAAGCAAATTAGCTTGGACACTGAGTGTAAACAGTGAGGCTGAAATCTTGAGATCCTCTTCCCTACAGATAAAAGGGCGTGTGGGTGCATGTGTGCATGCTTGAAACACCATAGGAAGAAAATAAAACAAGACACGGGTTGTTTTGTTATAACTCAGCCACCCAGTGGAGGAATTCAAAAATCACATTCATTGGTAAATGAGTATTAAAGAAAATATCTGTTTAATTTGAGGAGCCTTTCTGGGAAGTAAACATGAATGCAGAAGAAAGGAAAATATGATAGATCTTCAGATATTATGTTGTTACCCAGGGCCATTCAATTTTGTTGCATCATAGATTTAAGGGTTTGTGGAAAGGTTGAATATGAAGCGACAATTAGATCAGAAATATCTGTTATTCTGTTCTTAAGCTTTTAGAAATCTTTTCACAGCCAAACAAGAGGTTTGCGAATTGTTACTATAGAATATTTGAGTGTGCTGCTGTAGTTTGACTTTCCTACAAAAACAGTATCCCATAGTAAATTAAATTGGCAGATCTCTGAATATTCTTTAATGTTTGTAGCACATACAGAACACTGAGCAAATTGTAATTTACTATGCATAGTAAGGTCAAGTTTATTTCAGCATTTTTAACATTATTAGAGTAATTTTCTCTGAAGTTATGTCCTGACTGAAATGCATTTTTACTTAGCTGATGAGCTTCTAAGGAACGTATTCTCTGTGAAACCTAACCCTGGCTAAAAGATTTCGTACCCTGTAAAGTTTGGGTGAAGAGGAAAGGCTGTAAGGCCAGATGGATGAGGGAAGGGGGTACCTAGGGGTCCAGAGCAATCTCAGAGACAGAAGGGCGCAGTCTCGATGCCCTTCAAGCACATGCCAGCCTGGTGTGAGACACTCACGTTTTCTAAGCTTCAGAGAGGTTTTTTGCAATACTTAAGATAGCAAACGCAAGCAAGGAGTGCGATAGATCACATGAAATCCACTGAGCACTCACTGGATTTTAGCAATAATAGAATGATATCGCTTCTGAATTCCTCTTTAAAGATAAATCTCCCGAAGTCATCTTTTGTTTCAATAATTGACTTCTTGCCTTTTGTTTTATAACCCTGATTAAAATACTGCGTTATCACTGAAATATGGTGATTTTAACTCTTTCGGAAAGATAACTAAGAGGGAAATAGCTGGGTCAAATGCAATTTCTAATTTTAGTTTTTTGAGAAAACTTCACACTGATTTCCACAGTGGTTGTACTGTACTGGTTTACACTCCCACCCACAGTGTAGCAGAGTTCCTTTTTCTCCACGTCCTTGCCCACGTTTGTTATTATTAGATTTTTTTGATGATATCCATTCTTTCTGGGATAAGATGGTATCTCAGTGTAATTTTAATTTGCTAATTTTTAAAATTTTTACTAATCGTTTATCTTAGTTCATTGAAAGGAAAGTTTGTGTTATTACTTGTTTCATTTTTGTAAGAATCTTTTTGGTTTATGTCTTGTACTGAGTACTACTTTGAAGATAACTATACACAGGGTAGTAAACTATTTTTATTCTCTTACTATTTGGTTATGAAATTTTGTTTTTATTTTTTCATAAAATAAAAAGAACAAATACTAACTACATGCCACATAGCCCTTCCAAAAATTCACTGCTTTTGATCCTCTTGGAATTAAAATGATGTCCCTGAAACATTTAACATGTATTTGGCAGACTAAACAGACTACTAGTTGCAAAGATTTTCTTTACCATTGTCTCCAATTCTCATTTCCAAAACTTTAAAGAGTTTTGACTAAATATTTCAGGTGTCCTTTCTTTGCTTACATATTTTGGGCTAATATTTTCCCCAAATAGGATATCATTTCTACATTTGCTTTCTGCTGATTTTCCTTCCCCCAGGTTGGCTTCTATTAATCCATTTCCTTTTTTTCCCCCAAGAATGTTTATTAAAGGTTGTTTGCTTTTTCTTGCACAGTTGTTTTTTTTTAATATATATTGCTGTACACAATGATCACATTGATCATAGGAAATCTGTACCTTTACATGGTATATTTTAATTCTTATTTTTTATCAATCTATTTTCTATTTCACAAAAAGACTAAAATTCAAATGCTTCTCCATTAGACCTCTCCTGAAAGACACCACTCCAACAGCTAACTAAAGACTGTGAGAGGAACCCTGACTTCTCATTTCTCTGTACATAATCCTGTAGGGCTGACTTAAATGCACCCCAAAAGCCCTGTAACACCTCCACCACTCCAACCACCAACCCTGGGCATCTAATAAGACAAGCATCTTACATTCTTCTGTAGCACATTCTGTCATGTATTTTATGGATCCTTTCTTTTCTACTTCTCAGACTAAACAGAAATCACTGACGGCAAGGAATTGCAACATATCAGCCATGTATTCCTAGCATGTGGCAGAAGGTCTAGTATAGGGTAAATACTCAAATCATTTTATAAATGAATGAGTGGGTTTTGGAAAACATCTTTCCAACAGTCTTCCTAAAGACATTTGCAGGCTTGAAATTAATCTCAATGGTTCTCCTTTTTTCTATCATTTTTCTTATTTGGCCTAGTAATTTAAAAATATTATGGTTTTGACATACTTGGGCTTTGTAAACATGACATAAGAGGGAGAAAAATTGTCATTGAGGAAAATGTATAGAAAATTGCTACAATGAAAATGTAGACATGATATATATGCATATGTGTGTATACATCTATGTTTGGCATATACTTACACGCATGTATGAAATTTGAAACATCTAAGAGATTTTTGTTTTCCATTTTACAGGACAAATTGTGACTACTTCCACTCCTGGTAAGAGTTAATATTTACATTTTACTTATTTATTTTCTTGTTGCCAAGATCATATATTTGATGTAGATATACATTTTCGATTTATTATTTAAATAAATTGTTTTAAGAAACTGAATGCTTCTGGACAGTCACTTGTTCTTAAAAATAGGGTTTAGTGCTGGGGATTTAGCTCAGTGGCACAGTGCCTGCCTGGTAAGTGCAAAATTCTGAGTTTTATTCCTGGTATCAAAAAAA